TTGATTTTCGGTAAATAAAGACAGTTTTCAGTGCGCTTAACCGAATGCACCGCATTTGCCGCAGTGCGCCACATTTGTCCACATGCGCTATTTTTGCCCCAAATCGCACAACTTTGTCAAATATGGTCCGATAAAGGTGCAATTCAGTGGAAGGATGCATGGCAAAACGACAGGCACAAATGCGCCACTTTTGTCGCAATGCGCCACATTTGTCACAAGGCGCCATTTCCATCAAATACGATTAAGAATATTGGAATGACACGAGTAGGAGCAGGGTTAATACTGTTTTAGTTTATTATTTATCTGTTTTTTTTTTTTAGTTCCTACTTATTGGATTCAATTAGTCTGTGACCTCACATGACCCAATAGTAGTGGTAGAAATAGTGGTAGAGGGAGTAGTGGGTGTAATGGTAGTGATAGTGGTAGGAGCAGTGGTAGTAGTAGGGGTAGGAGTAGCGGTAGTAGTAGGGGTAGGGGTAGGGGTAGTGGTAGGGGTAGTGGTAGTGGTAGGGTTAGTGGTAGGGGTAGTAGTAGGGGTAGTGGTAGTGGTAGGGGTAATGGTAGGGGTAGGAGTAGGGGTAGTGGTAGGGGTAGTGGTAGGGGTAGTGGTAGGGATAGTGGTAGGGGTAGTGGTAGGGGTAGTGGTAGGGGTAGTGGTAGGGGTAGTGGTAGGGGTAGTGGTAGTGGTAGATGTATTGGTAGGGGTAGCTGTAGGTTTAGGGGTAGGGGTAGTAGTAGTGGTAGGGTAGTAGTAGGGGTAGTGGTAGGGGTAGGGGTAGGGGTAGTGGTAGTGGTAGGAGTAGTTATAGGGGTAGTGGTATGGGTAGGGGTAGTGGTAGGAGTAGGTATAAAGGTAGTGGTAGGTGTAGGGGTAGGGGTAGGGGTAATGGTAGGGGTAGTGGTAGGGGTAGGGGTAGGCGTAGTGGTAGGGGTAGTGGTAGGGGTAGTGGTAGATGTAGTGGTAGGGGTAGTGATAGGGGTAGTGTTAGATGTAGTAGTAGGGGTAGGGGTAGTGGTAGTGGTAATGGTGGAGGCAAACGTAGAAGTGTGGTCCAGGCTGAACCCATGTGACAGGAGGTGACCTATGTGACCTGACCTGACCCAATGTGACCGGGGTTGACCCCATTGACCCGTCCTGAACCCGTGTCACCCAAATTTCACCCAACAAAGCCCTCAGAACAGTTCTTTTTTTCAAAATTTTCCTCTGCACGTTTTCCTCTGTATCTAAGCTTCCAGAGGACTGATCGGTATGAATCAAACACCATTCGAAAGCAAATTGGCTGCTGCGCATTTTATGGCTACGCCGCGAAGCAAGTGGCGCAGCCGCTTGTCTACTATACTATTTGTGAAATGAAACTCTGTGTGTGTGTTTGCACCGTGCAGAGGGGTGCTTTGACGTCGTGCGCAGGTCAAACGGTGCGGTCGAGGGGGCTGAAATTTTCGCAGCGTGTTGATGACGTCACGCGCACGTGCAGTGTCGAGGTTCGAGTCCCGGGGGGTGGATGGTTCGCACGTGGCACGCGCTGGAAAAAGGTGCTTTTTCTCCAAATTTTGCTCGGCTCTCAAGCTTGCTTCAAGGCATCGGCAGCCGGGTTCAATCGCCTTTGACAATAAAATGCATGACGATCGGCGGCGGGTGCCTCTCATTTGCAGATTGGCCAAGTTATTTATTTTGATAAACAGAGGCGAATGAAGGTGTTGATTTTCGTTGAATGGGGACAGTTTTCAATGCGCTGACACAAATGCACCGCGTTTGCCGTAATGCGCCACATTTGTCGAAAGGCGCCATTTTTGCCGGAAATTGCACAACTATGTCAAATATGGTCCGATAAAGGTGCAATTCGGTGAAAGGATGCATGTCAAAAGGACAGGCACAAATGCGCCACTTTTGTCGCAGTGCGCCACATTTGTCACAAGGCGCCATTTCCATCAAATACGATTAAGAATAATGGAATGACACGAGTAGTAGCAGAGTTAGGAACTTTTTTATCAGTTTATCTGATGGTGCTGTGACCTCACATGTCCCAGTGGTAGTGGTAGGTGTACTGTGTAGTGGTGGTAGTATTGGTAGGAGTAGCGGTAGGGGTAGTGGTAGCAGTAGGGGTAGTGGTAGTGGTAGTAGTAGGGGTAGGGGTAGTGGTAGGGGTAGTGGTAGGGGTAGTGGTAGGGGTAGTGGTAGGGGTAGTGGTAGGGGTAGTGGTAGGGGTAGTAGTAGGGTAGCGGTAGGGGTAGTGGTAGTGGTAGGGGTAGTAGTAGTGGTACGGGTAGAAGTAGGGGTAGTGGTAGGGGTAGTAGTAGGGTAGCGGTAGGGGTAGTGGTAGTGGTAGGGGTTGTAGTAGTGGTAGGGGTAGAAGTAGGGGTAGGGGTAGTGGTAGGGGTAGTGGTAGGGGTAGTGGTAGGGGTAGTGGTAGGGGTAGTGTTAGAGGCAGTGGTAGGGGTAGTGGTAGTAGAAGTGTGGTCCAGGCCGATCCAATGTGACGAGGTGACCTATACAACCTGGCCTGACCGAAGGTGACCTGGCCTGACCCAGTGTGACCAGGGATGACCACCTTGACCTGACTTGACTCCGTATGACCCTAATGGCATACAACTAAGCCCTCAGAATAGTTCTTATGTTCAAAATTTTCTTCTGCACGTTTCCGTCCATTCTCTGCTTCCAGACGACCGTTTAGTTTAAATCAAACACCATTCGAAAGCAAATTGGCTGCTGCCGCATTTTATGGCTACGCCGCGAAGCAAGTGGCGCAGCCGCTTGTCTATATTACTATTTGAGGAAGGCGTAGTTTCTGTCTATTACGAAGGTCGCGACATGGTGCTACGTAGCGCGGGTTACAGGTCACACCGTTGCACCTACCGCGCTGAAATTTGCGCAAGTTATAGAACAAGGATGGACAACGTGCCTTTGAGCGGTCTCGGCTCGATCGGATCGATAGCGAGCGCGTGGCGCGTGCCCAAAAAGTGCAAATTCGCGTCATAGACTTTACATGTATAAATCGGCTGGCAAAAACGGGCGAAAATGGCTAAATTTGCCCGACACGGGTCCGTTCCCCGTGCAATATCTCGGTAGCCGTGCGCCCGATCGGCACGGGGAAAACAGCATCGTGTAGAGAATCGAACGGGCAATCGAATAGTGTGCGGTGCAGGGGTGGCACGCGCCACGTGCAAGTGTGAGGGCAATTTCATTTCAAAAAGTGCCATTTCAAACGGATTTTGGATTTTATTTTATTTTCCCGTGACCATCAGACTGAGAGAGTTGAAACAACGTCAATTGCCAAGAGAAATGTACCGCCTCTCATGGAAAAATTGTGGACAGCTAATTGATCAAAAACAATGTGGAAAAATCGCTGAATTAAAATGGTATTTGTCCATAATGTGCCACTAAAAAGATACACGGGATTTGCTGCTTAACCTGATACGCTTGATAATTGAAAATGCTATCATTAGAAAGAGCATTCAATTCTCTCCAAGATCCAATCATCACGTTTGCATGACAAGCAACAGTATTCTTAAAAATATAAATGTTTTAAACCTCTGCAAAACGATTTTTAGCGAAAATTATCTACGCCTTTCATTTGTCTTAAAACTACGCACCTCAATTATAAAGCACATTTGACAGATTCTGAAGTGGAAAGCATGCTTATCAGACACGGGCACCTCGATGCGGTGGATATTTTTTCCACAAACCAAAACGTTTAGCCGTCAAAAAGCAATCGACCGAAATGGATAGATAACCCAACCGACACAAGAACAACCGAACACCCGCCGATCGAAAATATCCCTTTTCGCGTTGCGGAGCACGCGGGTCACCCTAGTAAATCCAACTATACTAGCGTCGTGTGATACACGTTTTATAGCCAATTTTGCATTTCAAATTCAATGGTGTGGGCTAGACGACCATTGGGGCCGGCTTAGCAGTGTTTCATTTTTCAGCCTTTTTGGTGGCAAATCACACCTAATGGGGAAAATATTTTCATCTCTAAAATATGAATGACCAACTTTACTTCATCTCTGAAAAGAGTTTCATGTATTCCCAACAGCCAGTTCACTTGTCACTTGACAGTTGATGCACCCATATTCTTTTGTTCCACACCCTGTCAAGATCCTGACATGAAATCCTGGTTTATCAGTTAGCATAAAAATTGGCATTAAACCATTTTGCAAAAATACTGCAGTTATTTACTTTCTTTTTTTCATCCTAAGATTTTTTTTCTTCATCGGCACACCCAACCAATATCCAATTTTAGAACACTGCGGCTTAGATTACACCCTGGTGAAGGTCAGGTCAAGGTCAGGTGAAATAAGGTTAATTTTCGAAGTTGATATTTTGCATAAAATGGGTACCTAGATATTCGCTTCAGCTCATCACGGGGAATCCAAAGGTGGTCATTTTTGCTCTGTGTGGTCTAAAACAGCTAAAAGTTGAGTTTGGAAATTTTACGTAATAAATGTTGAGTGATTTATTTTTTTTCACCATAGCCTTGGTAAAAATGGAGCCATCGAGATCACGTCTGGCATGTGTAGGTATAGCAGACCAATAGTTCTGGTATTTTCGGGGTTTGATATAAAAATCACTTTAAGTTTTGATGGTCAATTTGTTTAATCCGAGTTAGGAGTTTTGTAGCCCTGTTTATTTTACATCTTTTTTATCTTGAACATTTTTCGTTATCTTCAAAGCTGTAGGCGTGATAGTTCTTCCCGCTAAGCCTTTTTTGGGTCGAAAATGGCAGAACATGACATGAATCTGACGTCCTTTGTGGCTAAGCTTTCAAAGACTTTGGAAAAATGTGGTAACAAGATGTAAAAATGATGCCCGGAAGGGCATCATTTTTAGGCTGGTGACGAAAGACTGGTGGCGAAATCTGCTACAGATTAGGAGATATCGACTGAAAAAGAGAGATGGTCCGTTTCGCCCCCCCCCCCCTCCCTCCCCCAACGAGGCGTCGGGCTTTCATTCAATTTCTGCTCTCACAGTCTCTCTGAACTCTTTTTTTAAATTACAGAGTAACGGAATTGCAAGTGGCAATATAATCTTCCTGCCTGCGCCGGACCAGAGTTTACACATGCAGGCTGAGTTCTAGCATTTATATTTTAAATTTTTAAGCCGTTGAGCTTTTAAGAAATTGTATGCACTGTTCAGCTTCTTTTTTTGGTCCATCACAGCGGGCTTGTATGCCATTTGCCAATCAAAAACGAATGTAAACACTTTTTATGAGGTCTGGTAACCTCGCCAAGTTCTTAACTGATTCGTTTAGTAGCTTTGATTGGGCACTGCCCACGTTGTCTGTCTATGACACGAATAGAGGCTGCTGACATCGTTTGTCGCGGTTAGATAATAATACCAAATACCAATCCAAGTCCCAGTGGCTGCTAGATCGCAATTTTCCTGGCCCACCTCTCCAGCCAGGCTAGACTTTGCTCGGCACAGCTGTCGCCTCAGTGCCTCGGGCGGTGACCCGTTCAAAGGGGCCCACAATTCGTATGGTGCCGTGGCTCTCAAACCAACACAGAGCAGTGAGACGCACAGGCTCACTTTCCATATAAGGCGAACAGCTGATTCTGACGGCCGGGTTTCATTAATGCTAAGGCGCCCCATCACAGCGCGGCATTTCAGTTGGTGTCGGGCGCAAAAGCTGCTATGCCCCGCCCCTCCATCACGTGACCCTTCCCTCACGTGGCCTCAGTCACGTGGTGTTTCCACTCCTTGGCGCATGGCGGCGCTAGTCTCTCAGGGGCGGTGGTAGCTTGCTCCCCCGCCGTCCGCGGGTGATGGGTAGCAAGTGCTGGTGACTATGCCTACATTTAGTATGTGCTATGCTATGTGTATTGAGGATTGAGGGCACCTCTGACTCGCTGCGCAATTAAAATTCTGGTATTGATTGGTTGATTCTGGCATTGTGTCTTCGCGCAAACCATTGAAAAGGAGGCGGACATTTTTAAGGAACCGTTAAGTACAGTCACCAGCACTTGCTACTAATCACCTCGTTTTTGCTCAGTAGTTTGAAGACCGATCAATTCTCAGTCGAGCAAGATACGTCAAACGATCGGTTTGGTCCTCTGATTTTCGAATATCTAACTTGTTTTTGTATGTTCGAAGCATTTTGGGATGAGGAGCCAAAAAACGTCTTTTCTGCCCTAAAGTTGCCCCAAGAAGTCGTAGAACCTAGCCCCGCCTCTGATCCACAGACCACTAGTGCCATCTCTTGTCAGCCGAACAAACCGCAGAAGTAAATAATGTCACGTGACCTTTGCACACGCTACAATTACTACGCAGTTGTAGTGGGGGAAGCGGGGCGGAGGCGTGGAGAGGGACGCGATCGGTACGGTCGGCTGGGGTCAGGTCGCCGAAGTCGGAGGTCATCCGCCGGAGGGTGTTTGGGCGGTTGAGCCGTGTGGGCTGGGGCTTGCGGAGTGGGGAGCGCCTGGACCTGTCTGGAAACAAGTTCTACAACGCTGTGGCAGTCGAGAATATTGTGAGGAAAGAGAGAGAGAGAGAGAGAGAGAGGGAGAGAGAGAGAGGAGAGAAAGAGAGTGGAAGAGAAAGAGGGAGATAGAGGGAGAGGGAGAGAGCGGGAGAGAGAGAGAGAGAGATGGAGAGATAGAGAGAGAGAGAGAGAGTGGGAGAGGGAGAGGGGAGAGAGAGAGAGGGAGAGAGAGGAAGAGCGAGAGAAAGAGAGAGGAGAGAGAGAGTGGAAGAGAAACAGGGAGAGAGAGGGAGAGAGAAGGAGATGGAGAGAGAGGGAGAGAGAGGGAGAGAGAGGAAGAGAGAGAGAAAGAGAGAAAGAGGAGAGAGAGTGGAAGAGAGAGAGGGAGAGGGTGAGGGAGAGAGGGAAAGGGAGAGAGATGGGAGAGAGGGAGAGAGGGGAGAGAGAGAGAGAGAGAGAGAGAGAGAGAGAGAGAGAGAGAGAGAGAGAGAGAGAGAGAGAGAGAGAGAGAGAGAGAGAGAGAGAGAGAGAGAGAGAGAGAGAGAGAGAAGAAAGACTGGAGGGAAGGGATAAGGACGGGAAGAGTAAACAGAGAGGCAGAAAAGGAAAACCAGGAAGGGTAAAATGAGAGAGAGAGGGTAGGTAATGGGTAAATCAGTGAGAGGGAGCGAGAGAGAAAATATTTAGTTGTGTCAGCTTGTTTCGTATGTAAAATGTAAATTTGCTTTCCATCATTTCAGCTTCGGATTGCCGATTGGAAATTAAATCTTAGCATCCTTATGATAAACCTACGCTGACGGGATGGGGACGTTTTTTATGGTCGTCGTTGGGAGCTCGGCACTAATGGGGATGATGTTGAGGGTTTCGCAAATATTTCATATAAGAGATGATATTTTTTGCATTACCTATTAAACATTTTTTTTTACGTTTGCTATGAAAATGTTAGGCCCATTTCATCCCGAGTGCTGAGGGGGGGGGGGGTGGCGTTTCACGCCCCTCCGTCTAACTCGGCTCCTGGGCCACGTAGAGCGACACGCGGTAAGCGGCAATCGAAAGAGCGTCAAAAATAAGAAGGAAAACACTCGGTCATTTTAAGGTTAGGGCAAAGTTCAGGTCACCAGAGCTCATCAAAGGCAAATTTTGTCGATTTCAACGATTTTAAACATTCGACGGCTAACTCTGGAACCAATAGAGCTACAGCGCCGTGTAAAAGCGCATTCGATAGCTCTTTTAACGCTCTTTCGCCAACATGTCCTCAAATTTGACCTCAGATCAACGGTTAAGCCCCCAGAGGGCACCGCTCTGATTGACCTCAGATTTGACCTCAGATCAACGGTTTAGCCCCCGTGTTTTCACTGCTCTAACAAAAGTTAGTGTCAAATCAAAAGTTATAGTAAAAAAAACTGCTGAAGACCTTTCATGACCTGAGATGACCTCAGGGGCACACAGGTGCAATTTTCCGATTCAGAGTGTCATGTTTACATATGAACCGATGTTTGAGAGTGTGTAGAACGACATTCGGCCAAAAGAGGCTCATTTCAATTTTCTCCCATTGGCTTATATGGAGCTGTCGCAAAATTGACCTGACCTTAGGTCACAACTCACAGATATAAAAAAAATCCGAGATATCCATTTTATACATAGGTACTGTTACCCTAGGCACGTACTGAAAGTTTCAAAGTGATCGCTCAGTCGGTGTAACTACAGCGAGCTTTCTAACTTTTTCTGAGTTAAGGTCAATTGGCGTTACATGGTGACCTGACCTTGAATGACCGGGATCTGAAATTTTCATAGCATGTGCGAAAAAGATGTCGGAACGGGTGTAGGTATCTAAAACAGCGGCGCTACGCGTCGCCGTTTTTTGAGATATTCGCGAAAAATCTAGGGGGGGGGGGGCGTAAAAACGCCCCCCCCCCCCCAGGACGGCGCGGATCAAACGGCCCCTGAGACCTTGGGATGGTGCCCCTGAGACCTTGGGATGGTGCCCTTGAGACTTCGAGATGGTGCCCCCTCAGACCCGGGGAGAGTGCTCCTTCAGACCTCGGATTTCGGAAAAGTGCCACTGGAAACTTGGAACGGTGCCCCCGGAGACCTCGGGATGGTGCCCCCAGACCTCGCGATGGTGCCGCCGGAGACCTTGGGATGGTGCCCTCTCCGACCTTGGGATGGTGCCTGCGGAGAACTCGGGATAGTGCCCCCTGAGAACTCGAGATGGTGCCCCCGCGGACCTCGGGATGGAAATAGATGGACAATATTAAACTAAAAACTAAAAAACTCAACTAAACTAAAAAAAAACCCGAGGCGAGGGACAGAAATGGGACTCCGGGAGACCCCGAAAACGGTACCCTATTCCGATAGACCTTCTGGATGGTGCCCCCTTAGGAGACCTCTGGGTTAAAGCTCCCGTCGGTGACCTCCGTGATGAATTAAAAAAAAACCTCCGTGATGGGCCCCGGGAGGCCCAAGGGGGGAGAATGGCCCCCATGGCCTCTCTCTGGATCCGACACTGAAATGATCTGGCCCAAGATCTTACCTAAAAAAAACCAAAAGCCTTCCTTCATTGTCCGAAAACCGCTGACAGTTGATAGCTCAATGACACTAGAGCCGTGCATAAGGAGGCGTGAAAACACTCCTCATCTCGATCTATTACGAGAGGACCATGTCATGGCGTGAGAAAGGTGTTCTCAAAATAGATGACACTGTATGAATGAGTAAATAATTCGCGCCCCGTTGGGCTATTGGCGGACCCTACCACCTGATGGGGTGGTGCAGCCGTTTCGTCCTCCACCTGAGATCTCGGAAAGTTACCGACCGATTTTGAAAATTCGAAGAACGTTCGATAGCCCCACCAGGGGCTATCGAACCTTGTTACCAGGTTTCGTTGACCTAGGTGCAACCCATAACGTCACAAGTCAGGTCAAAGGTTGCATTTTTTTACCGATTTAGTCTAAATAATGCGTTACAGTCAGTTAACACATCAAATAAAAGGCATGTTATCGAAAAACATCGATGGAGCGTGGTTGCCCAATACATATGTTGCCTAAAGAGGTCACTGATGCCAGGTCAGATCAAAGAGTTCATGTCACTAAGGGTCACAATATGAACCCAACTATGCTAATTGGTCGCGTGATACATGTTTTATGGTCAATTTTACATTTAAAGTTCAATGGTGTGGGCTAGACGGCCATTGGGGCCGGTTTAGATTACGTTCTGGTGGAGGTCAGGTCAAGGTCAGGTCAAAAAAGGTTAAATTTCATAGTTGATATTTTGCATAAAGGGGGTATCTATTCGATGCAGCTCATCACGGGAAATCCAATGGTGCTCTTTGGCTTGCTCTGTGTGTTCTGTGACGGCTAAATATTGAGTTTGAAAATTTTACGTAATACATTTTGAGTAGTGTTTTTTTTGCCATAACTTTGCTAAAAATGAAGCTGTCGAGTTTAAGTTTGGCATAGCTAGAGCTGATAGTTCTATAACATATATTCCAGCTTTAATTTTGAACGTTGTTGGTATTTTCGGGGTTTTATACTTCTATAGTTTTGATGGTCGAAAACAATTTTTGTTTAGAAATCAGAGTTGGCAGTTTTGTAGCGCTGCTTATTTTATGTCTTTTTTTTATCTTGAATGCCTATTTTTTGTTATCTTCAAAACTGTAA